TAGAAGCCGCAACCGGGCATTTACGATTGCTTGAGACGTCGAGGCCTCAGTGGGTTGATCATATCACCGAGTGAGCAGTTCATCGCAGGAGTAGATGGAGGTAGATGTCAAATTGTAATATACAAAATTGTGACAACGACAGTGATGGAGGGGGAGGGCGTCTCCGATTTAACTCAGTTGATAGCCAGTCGAATACTCGGTAGTGCATCATCGACTAGGAAAACTGTAGTGAAGACCTCTGTAGTGATATGGAGCTTTATAGACCTCCCACAAGCCGCTCATGAACTCGAGGTGGTACTTCAGTTTGGTAGCACCAACACTGTCCTGGTCTGTGGCCTCAATGGCCTTGCATCTCGGTATGCGTATGACCCTAGTGTTCGCGGTGAGAAGGCTACTCTAGTTTGGAGCACTCACCTTTGTCCACTACGGGACCGATTTGGTAGTACTTCTACTACTGGGGGTAGTTCTCAGCAATTAGCCTCCGACACCCCCACCACTTGGCGGTCTGACGCCTCTCGTGTTGGCGCTCATTGGGATGTGAATGAACATGTCATCACCTTTGATGTCAGTGAGGACGTTTGTGGCCCTGTGGATACGAAGGAGGAGGTCTCAGCCGCTGAAGACGAGGATTGGATTCTTATAGGCCATCGGTGATCGCTGTATGAGGTTGTCAAAACGTTGTTTCAATTTCCTGATCTTTACGAAGGTAGCAATTTCTGATCGTAGGCTGTGGCCCCCCCGGTGTGGGCCACTCCGATTCTGCATGGTGACAGTCACCACTGTCACCCTTTATTTGGGTACTATACACGTATTCTCCCAAAATAGGTAGATTTTTGACACGGTAGTTGGGTGCTCATAGTTGTCATTTTCCTATTCGCTGTCTTATACAACTCCCTCGCATGGAAGTCTGTGGGAAGATGCATTTTGTCTGCATGCTCAGTTCTAAAGTTGTGTTTAGTAGTAGTAGTAGTAGTAGTAGTAGTAGTAGTAGTAGTAGTAGTAGTAGTAGTAGTA